AAAAAGACAGAAGCCAGATTTCCAAGAGATCCTTGCCCATCTTTCTACCTAATTCAAAAGATCTCAACCCTAGTTCTCTGTCTTCCAGTTACTCTGACCCTCTCTCAGCTCCTTAAATAGTCTTGTGCATATGCTATGTCCTCTGTGGGAATGCTGTCTTTTTTCAACCCTGCACCTTAGTTCATGGTTTTGGCATCTCAGCTCACAGGTGATTCCTTTAGGGAAGATTCCACCATCCAACCAAATAGACCAGCTTCCTCTATATGCTTCCAGCTTCCATAGACCCATGTTCCTTCACTTCAGAGTACTTATCTCAGTTTTAACATAGCATATGTCACATTATGATTATTTTCTTAACATCTGTCTACCCCTAGTAGTCCATTATGACAGAGGGCATGGATCTGTGTTTGCTCAGAACTGAGAATCCACTGGTAACAACACTTAAGAGATAGTAGGTGCCCAATAAATATTTGTGTAATGACTTGATCGATCACCCTCCTGACTCACAGCCAAGGGCTCTCATGATGGCATCAAGATGCCAGCCTTAAAGAACCCATGCACATTTCATCCCCAGGACAACATTTTTGTTTCGGTTACAAGACTTATGAAAAGCACCATGGGTTTTCCTTCTCTTCCTTTTCAAAACCAGACAAATAAGAATATAGGGTGAAGGGTCCCATGTACCACCTTATTCTCTTCCAGAATTGCCAGAGAAAGTCAACACAGGAGGTCCTGGGCAATGCAGAAATCTAAATATTTATGTGTGTATACAAACAGGCTCCAGACCACCTTGTACCACAGAGAGCTGGAGCCAGGAGTGGAGTCTGTTTAGCTGCTATTTGTTTTTCAAGAATTCAGAAAGATTTTTGGTCTAGTTTGTGACATAAGCACAAATGTAAGCTTGCAGAAGAATTGGAAGATAATGGAATCCCCAGCCTGAATTGCTTCATGCCACTAGTAAGGGGGACAGCCTCCAGAGAGAAGACTCTGCAGCCTTCATAAGGAGACTTGTTTTAACAAATTAACTTATCACTATTACTACCTCTAAGAAGGACTTTTAAAATCAATACATAGAAACAATGTTTAAACTACCCAGCAGGTCTCTAAAATAAACAACTGAAAAGGAGAACATGACAGTAATGTACTGCCCCTTTGGCTGAAAAATGCTATTTGTATTAAAGCTGATTGGGTTTATCTTATTTTATAAATTCCTCCATTATTTAGGTGAATTATTCATTCACTTATTCATGCAAAATATTTATGAGCTCTCCCTATATGCAGGCAGTGTTCTAGGTTCTGGGGATATTCAGTGAAGAACAAAGGAGACAAAATCCTTTTCTTTGTAGAACTTACATTCTAGTAGGAGACAAATCATAAACATGATAAAGTATGGAGTATGTGAGACAGTGATCATCAGGAAGGAGAAAAAATAAAGCACAGTCAAAGGGTATGAAATATCCTTTGGGACGCTTATATTTTAGACAGAATGGGGCAGAGAAGGCTCTGTAAGAATACAGATTTCAACTTCATTTTAATTCACTGAGAAACATAGAGGCTTATGCTACTTCTGATCAAGGGGACCCTCAGTCATGCCACCCTATTCCCACGACGTTGCATAAGCCAAAATCTATCCAGCAGGGGCACCTAACTTCCCACTCCATCCCATGCCATCAAGCTGAGTGACAGTTACCCTTCAAGACACACGGAAATATCAAACAACACCTCCATCCTAAGCAACCTGGGCTAATTGAAAGGGCCCCTCTTTAGGCTCCCAGAGTCCTGTGCTCACCTAGTGATGTAGTTGTCAGTTTGTCCATCTCTCCAAGTACACACACGCACACACACACACAATTAAGACTACAATCATGACTACAATTGCTACGTGCAGGCACTGTGCATAAATTATTCTCATCTACTTGTGTTCATCTTATTTGGGTAACCCTTGAAGAGCTTTAGTTACTTTCCCAGGGTAAACATCCAGGAAGTGGCAACGCCAATATTCAAACCTCTGCAGAGTCCATCTCTAAGGCTTAGTTCTTTCTCTGCATCTAGCTGCCTACCAATAGAGTAAAAACAGACAACAAAGGATGTAAGGGTATATGTGAAGCTCTGAAGAGCCAATCACTTAAAAGCTGGCTCTGCCCTTGAGCTTGAACTCAGTGTGCCAGGCCCGAGGCTCCCACCATGGTGACTCGCAGGAGGGCCTTTTACAGAGCAGGCGCGCTCACAAGTAACTAATGCTTCTCAGCCAGTTCCTGGGGAGAAGCTCAGCGATGAAGTGCTTTAGAGTCAGTCGTGGAAGAGCGTGCACAGAGATAAAACATTGTCAAGCACCCGTGGGCACCCTGATACGGATCCTCCCCACACTCGGCCTGACTCATAATCGGCAGCAGCCACCCGAAATGCATTTTGGGCTTTGCTACAACTCAAGATCCTCAAAGGCCAAGCTGTAATAATTCAGGAGCCATTTTCTTTAAGGGGAAATATATATGATTGGATATGTTTGCAGAAAAAGTTCTTCAGAAATAAGTTTAACTCAGATTTAACAATCATTTGGGGATTGGCCATGTGAAGAGCAGCCATCAAGGATGAGAACCACTTTGGCCGTTTCAAAATCCTAGGGTTCACTAGCAACATTTCTGTCGTTCAAAGAGGCATGGATTTCTCAAGGATTACTAAGTCAAAAAAGGACAGTAAATGCCACATTGTTTGCCTCTCTCTCTGTTGCTACATTTAAAGAACGGAGGCAAAATTACTCATTAGAGCCTGAGTCTAAAACAAACCCCAATTTAATTACTTTTTATATTCAGATAAAAATGGAAAGTTCTTCTGGGGATAGCAAGTTTGTTTATATTACACCAGATACCATCAGTGTGACAGACCTCCACAGAGTTCACTAATAGAAACAGGGAGAAAATATCCATCAATTATATATGTGTGCATGTACCGTATACCCAGAATTTCATATGGTATGAAAACGCCTTGCCTTAGCGCTGGCTAAAGAAGTTTTGAATTTCCAGAACGTAGGAATTTAAGAACTCTGCATTTTATACTCAATAATTCTTAAGTGCAAATTATAGTTTAAATACATGGTAACTAGTCACTAAGATGTAATAGGATACAGTGGATAAAATTATGGCCTTGGGAATCCCCAACCTGATTCAGATTCAGATCATTTACTAGCTCTACGATCTCGGTTTACTTTATTAACCCACCTAAGTCTCAATTTTTGCACTTAACAACAACAAAAAAAGATAATGTGGTCAAGAAGCCCCTATTCAAAACACGCTGGGTCAGATGTTTTGGAACTGAGAAGTTTTCACATTTAGAAATGTATTAAGGTAGATAAACTGTATAGTAAACAAAACCTTCAGCAGAGTCTGGGGCAGCACCCTGTAATCAAACACAGTAACATTTCTGCTGGGAAATATATGTACAGTTACAGTAATGGGATGCACTACGACTGTAAATAGCCTCCAGTCAGTTCTGCTACCTGAGTGTGTATCAAGCATATAAAAAAATTTTTTTTTGTATTTTGGACTTACAAAGAAAGGAATGTAGACCTGTTGTACACACGTATTGTTTGTATATATGTACATATGCACACGTATACACAAATACATATAAAGAGCGAGGCAGAGGGAGCTGTTGCTAAAATCAAACAGGACTGTGCCTACAAAGTGCCGTTATGAGAGTGCTCAATACAAAACAGTATCGACCAGAATGTGAATTGCTTGAAGGCAGGGATCATTGTTTTGTTCATTGATATACCCCCATATGCCTAAAAAGGTATTTGGCTCAATAAATATTCTTTGAATGATTCATGACACCACCTCATCGAGATTTCCCTTGTCCAAGTAGAACTACATGAAATGAAAAAGCATAATCCTTGGGGAGGCTCAATCTGCGTTGCAAGACAATGAGGTAAAAGCAGGAATGGAATCAGAAGTTCCTAGCGAGACACAAAGTGTTAACTCAAGTCTTGAAGATCAATAGTTAATTATTTTTTTAAAATCACTGCATTTGGGAAACGCATAATATTGGCATGATTCACTTCTGAATCTGACTTATCAGGAAAATCAGTCCTTGGCAGGCTCGTAATTGGAATTCTACCTATGATGATGGTGAGTGTTAAAATTAACAGAAGCTTATGAGCGATTCTGAGGAATAAACATGTATAGTCTTCAATAACCCACAGTGAAACTTTGAAAAGCAGGCAGCCCTTATCCACACAAGGAACATTTGTCTAACCTGCCAACAGCAACAAAACAAATGTAAATCCAGTCTAACACATATATGCACGTGCACGTGCGCGCGCACACATACACCACACACGCACACCACTAAGCTAAAATTTTGATTCTATACATTTGATTCCATCTGACAATGAATGCAACAGTTTCCTATTGCAAAATTTACTGAGTTACAGTAAGTACAAAGCACTGCTAAGCACCCACTCTGAGAATTTCCCTTTCCCCATCCTAGGTTAATAATTGAACCAACCAACAAACAACAAAAAGAAACATAAAAAGGAGAAGAATCTACCTGCAATTGGAGATACATGGCCTCAAACTAAAATGGAACAAAATAACATCTTAGGAATCCAGGTGGTAGAAATTCAAACTGAGCAAAAATGCATACCTCTTCCAAGCGCTATAAGTTACAGGAAAGGTTTGGCATGCAGATTTCTTGTGTGAAATGAGAACGAAAAAGCTTATTTGTGTATGCATTACACAAGTGTTATTAAAGCTATGATATAATAGATGGGGAGGATGGGAGAGATGGGGAGGAAGAGCTTTCCAGAGAAGAGCAGTTCGTTTACATTTAAATCTGTTACCATGGGATTATTCATATTCCTAAAGAACCAAGAGGTAAACTAACTAACCATCTGGCCTAAAGTACTTACAGCTAAGTGTGGCAACAACTGTGACAAGCCTAATGTTAAAGGTCTAGGGATCAATAACAGATCCCGAAATTGGGACCTTAAAAACAAAGCTTACCCGGCCAACAAGGATCGGTTCAGGTCCAGAAAACTCTTCCAGGACGAACATCTGATTCCAAACCCAGCCTCTCTTGGAACGGTTCAAAATCCGCTGTTCTTCACTCAGCCTGTTTAGTTCCAAAGGGAATCCACTCATTAAAACTGGAGACTGATTCATCGGAGCCGTGTAAATGCAAGGGGGAAGAGTAATCCATAATATTATTAATGGAGTCCAGAGATCCAACAGCATTTCCGCTAGCCGTTCTGGCATGGTCCCCCCAGTTAAGCAAATCACCACGAAAATGAGACAATTATTTTGTTTGCCTCTGGTCTGCAGCCATCCAATTCATCATGCAGTGACGAGCATTTACTCACAGCTCTGCCACGTGTTTACAGCACGGGAAACAGACATCATCTAAGCAGCTTTTCTAAGACCACGATCCATTGGCTTTCCTTCTCATTGAAATTTCCTGCAAAAACAAGAAGGAAGAAAGATAAAGGTCCACTGCAACAGGTTTTAAAACAAAATCACTGGTTTTCAAAAGCATATACATGAACAATAGTAGGCATTTCCCAAACCCTTGAGTCAAGAAAGTGGACCTGAGGAATTAGAACAAGTAAGCTAACAGGTCTTTTTATATTGTGAGCTTTATTTAAATTTTTGTATTTATATTTGTATCTATGTTACTTATCAAAAACCGCTTCAAGTTCTCTTTTCCCTCCTTGCTTCTTTCCTTCCTCCCTCCCTCCCTTCCTTCCTGTCTTCTTTCTTGCCTCGCTTCCTTTTCTCTCTCCATTACTCCCACTCTCTCTTTTCTTATAGTCGTTTTGGTTGTAATGCAAGTTTGGGTGTTGCCAATACTTTCTTGTACTCTTGTAGAGATTGCAAGCCTCCTTCCTCCTTCCTTCCTTCCCCCTTCCTTCATTTCTTCCTCTCTTTCTTCCTTCCTCCCTCCCTCTCTCCCTTCCTTCTTTCCTTCCTTCCTTCCTTCTCTTCCCCTGCCCCTCTCCACCCTCCCAGTTTAAAAATAAGTTCTAGTTCACTTTAGGCTGAACTATGTGAATAAACTAGCCTGTAATGGGTACATTTTTTTAAAAAATTACAAATGAGAACAGGAAGGGAAATGACCCCAATTTTCACAGTCTTAGCTGCCGCAACCCATCAGAAGGGATTGTCCAGTTCAGGGTGCAGAATACAACTCTCTGTAGGATGCTAATAAAGAGTGAATAAAATTAGAATGCTCCCGGAGAGAAATTCTGTAATGTCCAGCATGTATGTTATAATCAGGATGGTGTCAAGGCTCCCATTCCAAATGTACAGTTGAACAGGAGATTTAAATTATGAAAATCTCCTTTGGGAATGAAATACGGTAAAAATACAATTTTCAATTGTAGAGACTCAGAAAGGGATGGACAAAAAAAAAAAATCCCCATTACATGAGGTGTCAAATACATTTTTTTGCTTACCTACAGCATGGCAAAACGTGTTTCCTCCCTCTCAAAAAAATTATTTTTAAAGAAATAATGTCCACTGCATATCCCAGAGAGAAGCCTTGCTGAATTAGATTAAATGGGAAAATAATTCCTCAGGACACTATGGGGAACAGTTTGGCTCAGGGGATTCATAATGGGGTAGGAACCTTTCCTCTGTAGGTCCCCGGTTCCATTCTGGCTCAGAATGGGAAAGCAAGAACGTCATTACATTGGCTGGGCTAGTGAGTGGTCTTAGTGAAGCTAGCTGAAAAGGGCAGACCCAGATTCTGCTGTAAAGGCAGGAAGGATCTGATCTAACAAGATGGTCAGTGGAATAGCCCTGCTTGTCACTCTTTGCCTGGGCTCAGCTCAATCACTTGGATTCTCTCTGTACCTCAAAGAGGCCCCACCCTGATAAGTGCATAGGGGAGTCACTGCAAGCAGCAGTTGTTCTGGAAACTAAAGGGAAGACAAGCTTTCCATAGGGAACCAACTCAGAGCAAACAGAGTCCAGAACAACGTCCCAACTTTCCTTAGAATTGCAGTACACACAGGGAAATAAAAAGCAGATTTCACAGTAAGGCCTTCTCTCATCCCAGCGTGAGGGCAGAACTTTGCAGGCTTCAAATTGAAAACAAAAGTTGAAAGGTCTTGATAAGAAATCGCGAAATATTAATATCACTCTGAATTGCCAATCCACTTAAACAGCATATATAGCACAACCATCACATGCCATGCTCTCCTAGACATGGAGCAGGGACGATGATACAGGACTGTCACGCTATTTGGCAGACTCTCTGTTTTACAGGCAGAAAAACCTGGGCTTGAATCCCAGCTCACTCTACATGCTGTCTCTGTAATAATGCACGAACTACTTAAGTTCTCTGAGAATTTGCATTTCTCTTCTGCAAAATGGCAATAATAATAATTCCTACTTTCCAGGCAGTAGGGTGATTCACAAACAAGACTCATGTGAAGCAGCCAGAACATGGGAAGCACTCAGTAAGCTGCGGTGCTTGTGGTTTTCCTGAGCCAGACTGGGAGGATGGTCCTGACACCAACCCTTTGGTTAAAAAAGTCAAATGAAGGAGCAAAGAGTTAAGCTGTGTGACCTCCTCAGAAAGGGTAGTGTAGTCAGGGTACGAGAGTCACACAAAGTTAGTCAAAAACCTTCCTGAAGGTGGGATGTGGGAGGATGAGTGTGATGCTGGTAAGAGAAGGGCTGGACCATACTGGATAGAAGGTGATAGTCATTCTATTTACAGAGGCTCTGCCTAAACACTTCTCAGGGAAAAGAGACTTATTCTCTCCAAACACACCCTGCTCCATGCTGGGCCATATCTGAATGTTCAAAAGCCATGTAGACCATCGTCTAATCGCCTGAGTGCTATAGAGGCAGAACCGTGAGATGGTTGTGAGAGTTTTCTCTAACACCAGCCAGCGTGGGGATTGAATTCCAGTCAAGGAACTACCTTTACCAGTTGCATAATTGGGGGCCAATTAACAACAACAACAATTAGAATTATATCTACCTAGCTGGTTTATTTTGAAGATTAAAAAAGATAATCTTGGTAAAGTAATTAAGAAAAGCTAGAATGGACAGTTATTTTTAAATTGTGCCAAATACTCTGCGAGTATTCTCTGGCATCTGCTCTGTTGTTAATGATTCGGGGATAAGGAAATTTAATCCCAATTTTAACTACTAACAGACACTTCCTTGATGGAAGCCACCAAGTGGATGGAATGCCACCAAACCACTCAGGATGGAATGTGACACAATTGCTGTCCTACCTGAACTCGCCAGAATCAGGTAAAAAGTAATGATAGACCCTGAAACAATCTGATACAATAGTATAGCTTCACTAGTTAGAATGAAGGTACTAATAAAGGAATGTATGCATAGCCCCCAACAGTATCCATTAACACAATATCTTACAGTTAGATAAAGCTTACTATGCCTTGTACTGTTTTGCTCAAAACCGAGGTGCAGAATAATTAAATGACTTGCCCAAAGAACACCTCCAGTAAAGAGCAAGCCATTGTTTGAATCTAGGTAATCTAACTTCAAAATTCTTTCTCACCACAATCCCTTCTCTTATTACGTAAATATTTGATAAGCATATACTGTGGGTCAGGCACTAAGGCTAGGAACGCAAGCAGATCAGAGTTCTTATGTTCAGGAAGCTAAGAGCCTAATGGTTAAAGACTAAGAAATGGATACTTAGAATCTTTTATTTAGTCTGAGAAGGGTTAGGGTAGTACAGAGTGACAGGTATGCCACTCATCTTCACTGCCTTAAAGAAGGCTTCCTGCAGGAAGTGTCACCTAAATGTTGAGAAGGAATTACCCAATGGCAGGGGGAGCAGTAGGTGTAAAAGGACATTTAAGTCAATCAATGGACAGGAACGAAACCACCATTAATCCAGGATTTGTGAATGAATCAGTACCTAGCGTAGTTGTAAATCATTTCTTGTCACATCATCCAATCCATGGCCATGGTATCTTCTCCCTACCCACCAAATCATCCTAATCATGGTCTCCAGAGTACAAGTCAAATCAGTGCCCTCTTCTCTGCCAGTTCTTTGTGAAGAGAAGAGCATGTTTGATTTCCAGAGCTTTGAGGAATAAAAACAAGTGCCATCCCATGGAGAGGGTACGGGAGACAGCGAACTGAAGCACAATGAGATTGGCATTTTAAATGATGTTTAATTGTCACTGAATTAAATACTGTCAGAGCCTGAGGTCATCTCTCTGTTAAAAAGGAAGACCAGCAACAGTTAGAGGCAAGGGTGTGCAGTTAAATATTTAGCACGTGGCTCTCTAAAAGAAAAAAGAATCCCTGAGTTTTGATTTCCATGATAGAAATACTTCCACCGTGACCAATTTCAAGTTTTCAATGGGACCACTAACCAGGTCTGGCAGTTTGAGAAAATTTAACAATCAGCTCTGGTTAAGCCAAGAGTCACCTCCAGAACACCCCTAGGTGGTGCTTCTCAAACTTTAACGTGCATACAAATCCTCGAAATCTTTCTGAAATGCAGGTTCTGATTCAGTAAATCTAGGGTGGGGTTTGCAACTCTGCATTTCTAATAACCTCATTTGTGATGCAGATGTTACTGATAAGAGGACCAAGGTTTGAGAAGCTTGGAGTTCCAGAGAATAAAACCAGCTCCTAACTCTGACCTTCTTAATGAAGACTTGAAAGATTCAAAGGTATGGTGAGAAAGTCACTTCTTCCTTAGTGTCATTTAATGCCATGCCCATGAACTACTTACTAGCACTAGCACGGTACACACATATATCAGACTTCGGGAAACCCAGCACTGGAGTGTATGGATTTTGCACGATGCCATAACTTACAGACTTAACCCACTGCATATGGGACACTGGGAAGACTGCTCCAATAAGTGGAGTGTTCCCATGCATGCTATCGGGGGTGTTGAGACTTGGCCTTCACTTCAGCGGAAGTCTATTACTCAGAGAGAAATGGGATTCTACTGTGACAATTAGAACTGTACTATTTACATGCAGGTACCTCTGCCAGAGGCAGAGGTAATTTATCCTCTTTGATGAGGACAGAATAGCTTTATAGGAATTCTTGAGATGCAACCGAATGTTATGTTACTGTTATCAGAATTAATAAACATTGTAAGAGTAGCTGTATACACAAACTGCTTAACTCTATGCAAGGAAGAAGAAATTGAGCGTCGTTTGTAAAGCCTGGGTAAAAATCAATTTATTTTTAGATTTTCTAACCACAGTATGTACGTCTGGCCAAGCAATCCACTTGATTATAATGCTGCTGCATTGATTTACACCCCAAGAGTGAGATGAAGAGATTTTACAGTCTCTCTGGAATTCTTACAAATACGTAACTCTTTACTTTTTTTATTTATTTTTTTAATATTTATTTATTTGGCTGCTCTGGGTCTCAGTTGCGGCACGTGGGATCTAGTTCCCTGACCAGGGATCGAACCCAGCTCCCCTGCCCTGGGAG